TTGGAGCAAAAATGATACCAGAAAGAGGGTTGATTGTCTGATGTCATTTTCTTAGAACTTGACATATACGGCCATTGTCATATGTGACATTATGATTAAAACACAATTAATTGGTTGCCTAGTAACAAAGGAAGTAAACTAACATGGTTTAACATTCAAAATTTAAGAAAATATAGTGGTCAAGACTTGCAAAACAAGTCAAATAGCGGCAACATTTTAGGCTGAAAGTTGCCATGTGCGATAACCGTTCCGGGTGGCAGGGTCACTATATTAATAAATATCGAGAAAACTACATAAAATATATCATTTCACCTTGAAACTAATACACAAAGTAGTTAGGTTGTTGGTCTTTATTATTGGAAAGTTTAAAGTAATTTTATCAAAAACCAACAAAATAAGAGCAGGGCGTCCAAGACTTTTGGATCACCCCTCGTATAGTATATAATTTATCAATTGTGCAAAAGACCCCATGCAGAACAGTTCTAGTGATAAAGACAATCTTCCCATTACAAACCAAAGGCTTTACCAAAATGCCCAAAAAATCACTATGGATTTTTTATTATTGCAGACATTTATGGTTAGTTTATTGACTAAATTTCACAAACAGGCACATTTCTAAAAAATCTTACTTGGAAATACAAATTAAGGTGCTATGGAAGTTAACAGGAAATGACAAAACAAAAAATGTCAAAACCATGCTGGATTTTGAAAATTTTTTGAATCAAAATAACAGAGTTCTGTTTGGACCTCCAGTCATTATAGCAATTTTATAGCTATTTTTCAGTCACATTTTCAGAGGGCTGAAAAGGTTATTTCATCATGTTTATGGTCATTCTGACCATTTCCATTGGGTTCCCAGTCATGTAAATGATATGTGCAACTAGTTAAACTCACTGGAGGTCCAAACAGAACTCTGTTATCTTGGTTCAAAAGATTTTCAAAATCCAGCATGGTTTTGACATTTTTTGTTTTGTCATTTCTGTTAAGTTCCATAGCACTTTAAATTACAAATTAAAATGTGTTGGTTCATGAATGCATGAAACACATTGATGAATAAACAAAATATTTGTTCATACAAACTGGGGAAAGTATATTATCTGGGTTCTCCACTTTCAATGAACACATTTTTTTGTACTTTCTCCTGCATGTATGAACAAATATTTTGTGTCCATTCTCCAAAATGCATAAGCAAATGATTTGTACTTTCTCCATTGTGCATGAACCAAAACGTTGGTCATTCTCTTCCGCGTTTCAACAAATATTTTGTTAATTAATCAATGTGTCAGAACGAATAAAATGTACCTAAACCAGTGAGTATGAATGAATTTTATGTACTACTATATCTATAATGTGTATGAAGAGACATTACGATCTTTCTCCAGTATAGACATGTATATGAACCAAAACCCCTGTGCATATACTTTCTCCAGTATGTATGAACGAATATCATGTACTTCATTGTTTATGAACATAAAAACACACATTTTGTATGAACAAATACTATGTACTTTCTCCAGTGTGTATGAACGTACAGAGTATTGGTTAAATAACTAGTGAAGGTACATAATATTTGCTCATACACACTGGAGAAAGTGTATGATATTTGTCATTATTATATCACTATCTAGCTAGCGACAGTATGATTGGTCAAAACCGGGTCACATGTCGTGGGATATCTGGCGATATTCAATGGCAATGCTAATCAGATAAGACAACCGTGAGATATCTAGCGATATCCCACGCTCCCGGGAATTTTCAAAGAATTTGTTTTCGTTCAGTGTAAATAATTTAGTTCAGTGTAAGTCAAAATGGCAGACGAACCGAGTAGATTCAATGTATTTCAATGTTAACCTATGACTTAATAATATTAGGGATGTTTAGCTAGACAGTGATATAATAAAACAAATATTTCACTCTATTTTCGGTGAATACCTGTAGCACTTTCACAAGGTGATATTCCACTTGCCCTTCGGGCTTCGTGGAATATCACTTGTGAAAGATGTACAGGTATTCACCTCAATAGAGTGAAATATTTGTTCAATACACACAGTTAAAATTTATTGTGTCATATATACACTGGAAAAATATAAATAGTAGTTCATACACACATACATAGAAAGTAAATAAAACAATAAAATATTGGTTTTGGCACATGGGAAATTAACCTAGTTTCGATTCATACATACTGGAGAAAGTATATACACAAGAGTGTGACTCAGAAAATGTGACTCAAAAACAGTTAAAAGTTGGACTTTTGGAAAGGTCACCAGACAGAATCTATTGCATTTTTTCAGAAAGTGTGCCAAATATATTATTTGAAATTATAGAAGCTTTGAAAATTTGAGTTCATTCCTAGAAATAGAAAAAATGAGAAAACTGCTTTAGAAAGCAATCCATTCTCTTTTTATGATCACAATTTTTGTTTCAGACAACTTTTCAAAATTTCAAAGCTCCCATGACATGTATGATTTAGAGTGATATATTGGGCACATTTTCTGAGAAGTCTTTCACATGATGTTTAGGGTCATTCATTCATACAAACTAGAGAGAGTATGGTAATATTGATTAATCCAATCTGAGTAATATGATAGATAGTTGATTATTCAAAAAGAGAGGTTTACTTAGATTTTGAATATCAATATAGATTTGGATCAAGTGTTATAAAGAATCCGATCTTCTTAAGGTCTCATGGAAGTTAACAGGAAATGACAAAACAAAAAATGACAAAGCCATGCTGGATTTTGAAATTTTTTTGAACCAAGATAACAGAGTTCTGTTTGGACCTCCAGTCGGTTTAACTAGTTCCAAATATCATTTACATGACCAGGAACACAATTGAAAGGGTCAGAATGACCATAAACATGATAAAATAACCTTTTTAGCCCTCTGAAAATGTGACTGAAAAATAGCTAAAAGTAGGTGCTCAGGAAAGGTCAATGAACAGAATCTTTTGATTTTTTCAGAATATGTGTCCAATATATTGCTCTAAATGACACAATCTTTGAAATTTTAAAAAATCATCTGAAACAATAATGGCTGTAGTAAAAAGGAAAATAGATCGATTTTCAATTCAGTTTTTTTCAATTTTTTCTTTTTCTAAGAATGATATCAAATTTTTTTGAATTGTATCATTTAGAGCAATATATTGGGCACATTTTCTGAAAAAGTCAAAAGATTCTGTTCAGTGACCTTTCCTGAGCACCTACTCTTATCTATTTTTTAGTCACATTTTCAGAGGGCTGAAAAGGTTATTCTATCATGTTTATGGTCATTCTGACCATTTCAACTGTGTTCCTGGTCATGTAAATGATATGTGGAACTAGTTAAACTGACTGGAGGTCCAAACAGAACTCTGTTATCTTGGTTCAAAAAATTTTCAAAATCCAGCATGGCTTTGTCATTTTTTGTTTTGTCACTTCCTGTTAACTTCCATGAGACCTTAACTTACTTAACTTTAAGCATGCAAATAAATATTCAATGGATTTACATTAAATACAGATCTAGAGTTCCTGTGACAATGGCATTTACTTTTAATGATCAAGAAAGTACTTTGCACCCTCCCGCCAAGTTAGGAAGAAGCCAGAGCATTTTCATTCTGGTACACATCGCATCTAGAAACATTTCTGTGTCTATCATGTAAGAAGAGAAGGTCAAGGTATTCCATGATGGAGCATTTTGGAAACCCTTCTTAGAAATTGCTATGCTGAAAATGGGCTATTGGTATACACTTTGTACAAGTAATGCAGATTGCTCCGATTTTCACTACGGCGCCCTGCCGATTGAGTATTTTGTTCAAAATTGAATACAATATTGAACAAACGGAGCAAATGTGACCCTGGTATCAGTGTAGTATGAATTTATTTTGTAAGGATGCCAGTACTAAGTTTGCAAACATGCATGTCAACCATGGCCAATCAGAAGAGTGCACCCCTTCTATATGATAATATAAACCCTTCCTACACATTGGTTTAGCTTTGGATCACTATGCTATCACTATGTGGCAGAAATGCATTCTGATTGGATATAAATGATCACATGACTTAGTTCACCAAGGTATCAGGAGATGCCATGCCAAAATGTAAAATCTCTAATAATGTAACCTCAGTCTACCTCCCGAGCTACACCAATCAACCCTTACGTAGGCGGTTAACATGATATGCGTGTTCGTTAGCATTTTAACGAAGTCACAATCTTTTTTAAGGTTGTTGACCTGAGAAAATATTCCCACACTTTGGTGACCATTATATAATTAACGTTTCACCCCGGGACTAGGACCATCCCAAAATTTGTAAAAGAAAGTCGTATCTAAATTGATGTAACGATATCGCTAAGTGTTTTCTACCTAGATTTTGAGAGAAATGAACTTGAAGACACTACCATCCTTCAATCTACCTGATTCAGAATACAAATGGGAATATTATAAATGTGCTGGATGTGGTTTTCTCAAATCATGCTATGTCAAATCAATTGCATATGTCTTTCTAAATAAGGACTGGTTGGAAATGTTTTCAGACTGATCAGTTCGTGTCCTCGCTCACTGTGCGTGGTGAAACTCTTCAAACTAGTTCCAAAAACGGATCCGTATTGGTACCATGCGACGCCCCAACCTCAGACAAATATCTTATTGAACGAAATCAATTGTATCATCGCATCACATTCAACGTAGATGTATATGCATCTACTACGCAACCTGCGTTTTGATTTACAGTATATTATCGGAAACGATAACAGCAGTTATCGTTCGTATATCATTCATGATTTAGAATATAAAATAAACTTGTTGTGATTGGCAAATACTAAAATGAATGGGTAGAAGAATGCATGACGGAAAATGAACTGCATTATTTCAAAATAAATGGCTCTAGATAGGCCGTAACTTCTTGCCGTTTTTAGAATTCCAGAATTTTTGTACCATTTTGCAATTTTAGAGAAAAAATTCTAAGATCCCATGGCCTTAAAAGAATATCGCTTAACATGCAATAAACATGGAGGTGACTAACCTTGTGCTTGGGGCAGAGCGTGAGGATGACGTTCCATATATGTCGTCGAACTCAAGATCAAGTTCTTTGCGACGTTTTCTAGCAATTCGCCTGCAGACTACCGCGATGATGAGAATAATACCGACCAGACCGACTGCCGCTCCAACTGCAATACCCCATGTCACTGCTGAAAATATATAAAACGGTACCGAACATTAACAGACATACCTGAATTGTCGCAACTGCCTACCATCCTTGTTTAAATGGACTGACTGAATTATTAAACGGAATTAAAACTGGGCCTGGTTGTGGTTCTTTGAACACATGTTTCAAAACAATGTAAATTGTTCTATGAGAAAACATTAGAGTGACGAGCTTGAGCTTAGCAAATGAATTAGGAGGAGACATTTTTGATTTCTTGCGTTCAATTTTAATTGATGTGTTCTTATGTTTCCCGAATAGGAAAATGACCAACCTTTTTAAACAAATATAAATGGGGATGTATGCCCACGTGTAAAACATGAACTAATCATATTAGTTCATAATCCAAAAGAAGATAGGATACCTCAAAATTATAATTCAAACATTTCTGCCAATGCGTAAGATGTTTTCCACACACAGGATATGTTTTTGATCATGGACTTATCATTCTGATAAATCATACTTTTTTCTTGGAACCCGGATTACTATCCGTTTCAAAAGTCGTTTGAAGTAATCTATGAAACTCACTGTCAGTGATCATGAATATTTTCACGATCATATTTATTCCTCCGATCAATTAGCGCTTCTGTCGTATTTAATCGACAACACTGTCAATATAATTGATCGATGTTCTTGATTCCATATGCCATTGGGTAGTATAAATAGTATTAAATACCAATGGATAGAAGTTCACGAATCTACTCGTTGATGGAATACCATCAGATTGAAGGGATCGATGCCCATTTGGCGGGTTATGACCCGTCATTCTTTGAAAACACAGAGCCAAATATTGTAACCGTTTCCCTATTTATTTTTCTAAGGGCAAAAATTTAGAAGGCCATTTGGGAATAGCGATTCCAGGGAACAACGAGCTCTATAAATCCCCTAGAATCGTATCCACAATCAGGGCCAGTAAGGGCCTTTAAGAAAGGGGACCATAATCTCCAGGGGATCATAATTTCTTTTACAGGACTATATCTTTGGAGAGAATATTTGCTCTGACATGGATATTGTATGGCGACAGGGAGGAAAGCACCGGTAATAGTAATGTTAGTAGCCCCCGGGAGTAACTCTAGGTTCTCTAAGCTCCAAAAAGGAGAAATAGTCACCAGGTACTTATTGAACACATCCCTTGTGATCTGCAATCAATTGTGTAGTAAAACCTGACGCTAAAATACCATTTGTGTTTATGCTTAGAAATAAAAGAGTTTACGACGAACAAGGTGACAGTGTATGGGTCTGTTGTACTGAATAATTAATTAATTGATTAATCCATTGGATCCACTCGTCCACCCTTGATGATTTTGAGGACCATCCACGATGATGCTTAGGCTACACTTAAATCATCATGGATAGTCCGTAAAATTCGCGCTAACGTGTTATGTTGGACATATGCCCGAGAAAGTGAATAAAATTTAGTCTTAGTCCCCTGAGAAAAAAATCTAGGGGACTCAGACTCGATTTTTATACATGTTCCGGGCTTATGGTGGTGCGTTTGCGATTCTGCGTTATGTTCAATCAATAACGATTGCTCTGTATCACATTGCCACATTGCGTGATCAAGATTTAGTTGGACTGACCTGCACCCGGATGCATTTCTGAAAAAGTGATAATAAATTGAAAACTCAGAGCATTGTCCTCAGGAAATTGATAATGATTCTGTAGTATATCTACGACAATAACTTAATTAAACATTTTCCATTAGCAATAGAATAGGAACTAGAGGACCTTCATTCTTCAATAACCAAGACATAATACAATATATTTTCCTGAAAATTGGAACTCAATCCATCAGATGCGCAAATCTATGTCTCGTGTCGCAATGTGTGCCTCCAAAACAGAATATTATTCTGATCTGTCCTGAAATGGACTGTATATGATAAAGAGATGACATCGACCATAAGATCCGCTATAGACAATAGGCATGTGATACACCTGGAGCCGAGGACACGGGGTAATATCTAAATACAATATACTTTGAAATGAAACTAAAATAAATGAAAGACTAACAAATATCTAACTATTAATATTCCTGGAATTTTATCCAGTTACCGTAAAGCTCCTCGTCGTGCGTCATCGGATGCCATTCATCCTTGGTTGCAACTTTGACAGGGAGTGTAGGCACTTCTGGATATAATGAGGACACAACCATTGGGATTTTGATTTGGAAAATATAACACGATTTTTCAATCCCCAACAATACTCGATACGTTGTCATGTATTACTTACCAGGAATGCTTAACCACTGGAAGGGTTTGATGTAACTATTATTTCCAGCATTTATCCCCGGATGTGACATATCCTTACTTAACGCATCTTAACACTCTCCATCAAAGGGGCAGAATGATATGATTTCACAGTCTAATCAATATTTGTTATTATATCGCATGCTTCATTTTCTTTCCTAAGATGTGTTATGACTTCATGGGCCTAGACAAACGACTTCATATTTTTGTTTCGTATCCATTGTAATTTTCAATATTCCACTCGCACGTTGCTTTCCAATCGTGCAAAGCAATTTTGATTTGTTTCAACAGCTCTATACACAAATCGCTGATATTTCAATAAACTATGTTGTTTTTTAAACAGTACATGTTATGACAATATCAAGACTGGTCTGTGGGTGAACCGGGGGCATCGATTTTATAGATAAAATTAAAATAATGGATGAGTAAAATCGATACAACCAACCTTGGAAGGTAGACCTAATTTAAACTGGTAAGTGTGCATGGTTCAACAGTTGGTTACACATGTGATATGTGAGTCATCTTCAACCAAGGAACATTACTCATCTCTTGGGCCTCACCTCGCATTAGCCCACGTACAGACGCTGGGGAAATATACAATTGAGCTAGAATGCAAGACAAAAGAAGTATAGTTGAACATGAGACGAACATTAAATATTTTATGATAGTCTCAGGTTGAAAAAATATAAAACAGGGACCACGAGAGGCAAGGCCTGGGGGAAACATGCCCATTATCTAATAATTAAAAGACCGCAAAACGCTATCGTTGGCAAGTTAGATGAATCGAAATCACGCTTGCACATTTTCCAAAATTTTCATTTTTGCTTGAAAATTATGAATTTGACGTGGCAAAAGGTGGCCGGGTTTATTGGTAAGGTTTATGGGATTTTTACCTGGTCGTTCAAGTGAACCACTAGGCTATATGGCAATGACATTACATGACCTCGCAGTAGAACAACACATTGGAATTTATTATAAGCACAATTTTAATGATCATCACATTTGTCTATCGACGCAAACCTAGAAAATAGAGAACAAAAGTGCGCGAGGCTTACTTTAATGCTGAATTATGCTAATTTTAGTTCTGATTAGTCCGGTGGGATGTACAATGTACCCTGGCTTAACCCATCCCATTTCACCACCACTGGGAGTGAATTAAATGTAATTTATTGTACTTTCGTTAGACTAGGTTAATCTTAAGTTACAAGTTACACTCCCCTCCAAAAGTTTGACAACTGGAAATTCCTCTTTGGGCCACATGTTTAAGTCTGCTTATAGTTGCGCTCAAAGTTTGAATATGGTATAATGAGTTTATATTATATTTGTCATCCGTCAAACAAGTTATACAAGTTTAAGGTCAGTCTTTTTTAGTAAACTAAAAATATTTTGATTGGAAATATAAATTTATAATCAATTTATTATTTTCAGGACACGCGTGGTAATTTCCCAAGTTTCATTTTATACAGCATATATTTCTGAATTGCAATTGGACAATCAAACCGAGGCACGTGATTCATGGGATTGTGCCTTATACTTGTATTACTGTAAAACAATGATATAGTAAAAGAACGTAAAGAAGGTAAGCTATTGAACTAGCTGTCAATCTTGATTCGCAAACAAGTCTATATTTCATGGTCGCTGCAGCCGATTATCAGCATCATAACTACATGATCAATAAGTATTGTAACTATGGTGATTGTCCTCAAATGGCTATTGTCTCTTCACTTTAGCTTGTGTTGTAGTCTTACCCAATGTTATCAAATTTTGATGTGTGCAACTTTTATTTAGTTTCAAAAGTTTGTTTCAAATATTTGTTTCTTGTCTCACGCATCTATTAATAAGCGGTAATTCACACCACTGAATAAATAGCATACGTCACTTCATAATTGAAAAAATCAAGAAGACCGATCGAAAAAGGGAAATGAACTCAGAAGCGCAGAAAAGTGGTTCAAAGAAAAATACATTTATAATTGTTAATTCTCATCGAAACCAATGATGAAAATAATTTTTGCACCCCAAATGACATCACGGCATAAACTGATGACATCACACTTTTTAAAAATGCCATGAAAAATTCAATTTTGAATTTTACCAATGGGGAGAAGAAAATAATGCGTTTTATAGTGTAAAGTGTTGTATTTGATGATCAAGAGATTCAAACTTTTGAATGGCGGGACATTCAAAAATTCGAAAATTAAAATAACTTTTTTTAACTCAACTTCTTCAGAAATTTTCCAATACAACTTTTCAAGTCATGATAAATTATATTTAGATGGTTAATCAATATTTTCAAACTCTGGCATGATCCTTTAAGGACCTTGCTTGTTTTGATTGGGTTGAAACTATAGTGATGGAGACAAGTGACCGGGGGTATTATTCCAGGAGAATTCATTCCGTTTGCACTCGCTTGGTAAAATAAAATCGAAAGATAAAATTGATGATCTATTCGATAGAATTGTTCATGCATGACAAATAACCAAATCGTTCATAGTCAATCAGTATGTTGCCAATGTATCATTTTGCAAGTACTTATCTAGTAGACATATTGGAATAAGCTATTTAATCTTTATAAAAAATGCGCATCTTTATTTCATAATATCTAGTTAGCAATTTCAGTTATAGATGGAGCCGTATTTGTTGTATTAATATATTTTGCCATATGTGATAAATTACTAACTACACGTTACACCCCCTTCATACGTTTGACAAAGCGTACTGCAGTCTGTTTATGTTTAAATAA